GGGTAACTTCGGGGTGACCAGAACAGAACATACCTATGAGTCTTATTAATTCACAGTTAACTTTAGTGTCTTTCTTCAAGAGGAAATATTAATTTTGCCTCTAAGGACCTTTGGTCTAACTAACTCTAGCCATTAGAAAAGGACTCCTACTAATTACAATTGGCTTAAGGCACGAAGATGCTCTCAGCTGCAACACCCTAGGCTCTTCTTTAACCCTTCTCTCAAGGGCTCCTTTTTTCCACTCCAATGAGCTGGAGAGGGATAGGAGGCTCTATAGGGAGTGGAACTGGGAAAAGGAGATGCGTCTTATGTCTTAGTGTGGAAAATGAAGGTTTTGTAGAGTGGGAATTTTTGAGTCAGGAAATTAGGATTCCTTATTTCAGTGAAGTAAGAGAAAAGAGCAGCTGTATTAAGAGCTGGGTACAAGGGAAGAAAGAGAAAAATGTCACCTACACAACTCAAGACAATTCCCTCCCAGAGACTCTACCGTCCTAGTGCTGCAAAATCACTCTTCTATACATAGTTGAAAGGCCTCATGCCAGCTCTGTTTAAAATAAATCTAGAGAGGCAGGTAACACCTGGAGCTTTGTATTCTGTCAGTAATACGTAAATACTCCTTTTAACTAAAATTATTTAAATTTTAAATTATTTAGTAAAAAGTAAGTCCTCATTCTTCATAAAAAAGCAAAGATCGTATGTAAGTAACTCTATAATATTCCACCTACCTGTGCCCCATGAGACACAGAATTCCTATTTTAAGTGCAAAGTTCAGCTAGGCTTTTTCTGAGAAATTACTTCCAATGTATCTATAAAATTACCTTAACGTACCAACATTCATTGCTTCTAGAAGAATGAATAAAACTTACCAAAATAATGGAAGCATACATAAAAATAAATAGAAATAAAATTCTATTGTGTCATATAAATGTATTTTAAAGTAAAAACATAGATGGTTAACATATATTCTTTTTACAAAAGAAACACAATTTTGTTTTTCCTTCAAATACCTTCATTTTTTTTTCATTTTAGTTACTGTTAATTTAGGGTAATCCATCACCATCCAGATTGATGGATTCATCATTTTTCAGATAGCACATATTTAGAATAAAAATAACTTAGATATGACAAAAACCCTGTTCTATACATCCTTGTTTGCGTTGTTTTATGGATATTCTGTGGAGCTGTAATTCTTTGGCACCCTACAATAAGAATACATGTGTTTTAGGAAGAAATAAAGTTATTTCTTTCAAAGAGACAGATGTTTGGCCATGATAATCTTCATTTCAGTGTAACAAAATATTCCTCAGATTAACTATGTAGTATTTCTAAAAAGGAAAACATTTGCAAAGCCTGCTCTTCTCTGGCTGCATCTCAAATATATGCTGCAAGGAAAAGATGCCAACATTTTATAGTTTCAAAAACTTTCAAAACTTTAGACATTAAACAAATTTCTTTGGAAAAAAAACATTGAAAGCCAAAGAGGACAACCTTTCACATGAAGTACCCACTGAAAAAAAATCCTGTTTTCTCATTTAGACTTGATACTCTTTTTATAGCTGTAACTTAGTTATACACTGTTCATGTTTATTTCCACAAAACTACAGAATCCTTGACTGTTTGTTTTTTTAACGCAAACATATTCTGGAAAAAAATTACAACACTGCATTATGGTATTAGAAGTTTATTGCTAGTGAGCACTTAAATGTCAGGTTTGTTCAGCTTAAAATAAAATGTTTATTTTCTACATTACTCCAGCAAATTCTCAATGTTCTGAAAGTGATGTTAAAATTTTCTTCCCATGTATTACTACCAGTAAAAAAAAGTGTCAGTCCAACTAATGACTTCTGTCATGCTTAAGAAATGAAAAAGCCAAATTTGTATTAAAATATTTTAATGTTACCCCATTTTACTGTTTAGTATAAGAATTATTACCTTCACTTTGGAATCTGGACTGGAGTTTCGCACTGGGTATACTCTTTCTTAAAGAAAAACAAACGCTTTTGAGTGCTGAAGATTATAATATACTAATCTGATCGAAGTCCTGCATTTCTTCACATTGACACTAACAGCCATAAAAGAGGATGTTCCTGATAGTATGATAGAGAGCAGAGTAAATTCAGTACATACCTCATAGCCAGGGCTGACAGGAGACTGAGACAGGAAGTTGGAAAGAAGAAAAAACAGAACAAAGAAATGAGGGAGAAAAAGACAGAAAATAATGTTACTTTAGAAGCAAGCATGAATGTGTGATTATTTTATACTCTCATTCTATGTTATAGAATAGAATGCAAAAGAATTGCATTTGAGCTATCACAGGTAAAAATCTGGATTACATAGCGTCCTCCTAGTTCCACTTGTTTTTAGCATTTCTGTTCATGAGTTTTACACTATTAAGTTAAGAATCAAAAAAGGATATTGCCCAGATTTTACTCTTTGGAGGTAGATTTTTAAAAGCTGTACTCAAATATAGTCCCCAGTCAATTTTCAGATCAAAATGAAACATTTTATGAGCTAATGAAAACATTTATACCCAAACCAAAACTGTGCCTGTGTGTGGTGGTTCCCTATGAAAGGATAATTAAAGTACCCTTTGCAGGATTCCACATTATCTTGTTTCAAAGATTTTTTGAATGCCACAGTTTCATAAGTTAGGGCATAACTTCTTCACTTCCTAAGTGGCGTTTTCCCAGAAGCCAGATTTACAAGCTAAATTTAACACTGTGAGTTAAAGCTGGCTTCTTTCTGGTTCATGCAACATTGACAAAAGGTTCTGAAATCTTAACTTAGTTAATAATTCCATCTATGAAAGATCTCCAGGAACTCTTTCTCTCTCAGCTGCTCTGACTCTACATAGCAAATAGGGGTAAAAATAACACTCCGTTTAGTCCTACTTAAAGAACTGACAGATACTTGATTGAATTCAGTGGTCCTAAACGGAGGTTATATTTTGTTACCAGTGATTCAAGTGCCACATCAATACTAATAACGAATGATACGATTTTATGAATGAGAATGATGTTTCTTAGTATATTCACACAGACTGTAGAAAAATAAATTCCAAAGTGCATGCTTTGATCGGTATCACGGTATAAATGCCATAAAACTTATCTCACAAGTACTGCAGAAGAATGGCGTCCAAAGGACAGATCTGGTACAGGAAAACTGACCAAGCTTATGCACACTTAAAAACGGAAAAAACTTGAAACACATTCAACGCAAAAAAAAAAAACCACAACAACAACCAAACAAACAAAAAAACCCCAAAAGACACATAGAAGTCATATGTAACAGCACTTCTGAAAATCTGGCAAATGATATCATGATTTCCTGAAATAAAAGTGAAATCAGAAAGCTATTTCATTTCTCTAGGCTAATGCCCACCCCTGTACCTACTGTAAACATACTTTCTTTGTGCATGCACATGCTTGCGCACTTGTATGATGTTCTGAATGATCAGCATGGGTACACTGATGATTACAAGTTCTTAGAGAAGTATAGCCTGCAGTATGTATGAAACTTACTGCATTTCTTCACAGGAAATTTTTAATATTTTCAACAGTTTTAAAATATGTAGCTGTGCAAAACAAGGTATTTCATATAAAAGTGTATCAGCAAACAACACAGTAATATAATTTAAAATGTTTTGAAATTGAAATTCTTTGCTATCTTGTAACTGTACAGTGCAGTGGATATTTACAGAGAGTATACCAGGATGCTCAGTCATACAATTTTTTTTTAAACAAAATTCCAGACACAATTGATAATTAGGGCCAGGCTTCCTCAAAATTTTCTGTCTTGGTCTGAATAAGACAGCAGTTCTGAAACAACCTACTGTGAATTACAAATAATCTATAAAGATTTGTTGCTACAGTTTTTGCAGAACTTAAGCACCTTACTCATTTATGCAGCTTTTCAATTAAAAATACAGATTTATAACGCTAACCTTAATTTCCAAGTAGCTTTAGGCTAATGATAATCAGTAGCATAAGTACATAATTATAGTTCGTAGACGGTACTGCATATAATACCAGGTCTACATCATCTGCAATAGTGTCCTTTTAGTATGTCAAGTTTAATAAGTTTAATATTCTAATTGAGAGGAAAACATGATAATTGTTGTGTGTACTTGTAAATTCTTTCCTCTCTTTTAAACCTTAAGGTTTTCAAAACTTTCACTTAGGAGTGAATTCATTTACACACAGTGTAAATTCTTAACTCTTCAAGTATATTATGACCGTGAGTGTTAAAAGGAACAAATATGCCAAAGATAAAAAAAAAATATAGTATTCTAATTTACTCCAGTCATTACATTCTGTTCTCAGAAGAGTTGTTTTCATGATGGAAAACTACTATATTAATACATGTACAAGTATACCATATATTTACGTGTGCGTGTGTGTATACTGTATACTTATATATACATCTATACACATATATACACACATACATTCATCACAAAGATCTGTTTAGGGAAACAAGGGAGATTTCTCCTACTTTCTTTTGAACACTAAGAAATATGCTAAATATGGATGTTCCAATTAATTAACTATAGCCTTGACTGTGACAGACACTCAGTTTGATAGCATGGTGTTTGCGTCACAGCATTCTCCTGAGGCAAATCTTTCCTGTATCATAAATCAATGGATATAATGGTCTGATACAGAAGAAATTCAACTTCTAGCTCCAGAGATGACAGCCTCCAAGATGCAACTACTCACATTAGCACCGGTGGCAGTTTTGAACCTCCAAAAATAACCTAATTCTTGACAAAGGGAGGAGACTCCTGGGAGTATCAGAAGTGACACATACCTTAAACCCACATACCTTAAACTAGTGACCTCCCTTTTATGTCAAGATGCCTTTTCTCACAGCAACGCTTTATAATTTACATACCACACTCCTCTGTAGTCTGTAACAGGCAAAACCAGCTCCTATAGCACTAAATGTCGTTGTTTCTTATCAGCAACACCCATGGCCTCTATAGCTAGGGAATCCCATACCAGAAGGGCTTCATCCGGCACGCCGGGCGAGGGTTCTGCAGAAACTGTCCGAATGGTGCTGAGTCCCGTCAGGGACACGTTTGACAGGCGCCTTTTCCGTACACCACTGCAGTTGTTAGGGATTTTAAATGCACATCTCTTGTGGTAATTTAGACCACATCCTGAAAAGAGAAATTTAAAACCATCTGATTACAGTTTATTATTGGAAAAAGTAAAGAATATTATTTTTTTTCCCAGAAAACAACAAGAATTCAAAAACATCACCCTTATTTTTGATTAAACTTTTTTCCTCTACTCTGCTGGTTTAACTCCTATATTCTATATGTTTTTAGAGAGATAATGTTACAAGTTCTGAATAGCTATATCTATAACCAGTGTTTTTTCTTTGATTTTTCAAAAATCTATGCTCTCAAAGTGCAGGAAATTTCTGCGATCAGCATTTGGGAGGTAAGGAAGTCTTTTACTGCAAATTATATATTTCATTGGATACAGTCTGCCAGGAGTCAAATAGTTGTGACAAAATGAGAAAAGATAGCTATTGCAACCTCATATGGACGGACAGTAATTTCAGTTAAATGATCTAAATTAATGTGATATAGAATGAGATACAGGCTCAGGTTCATAAGGGAAGCATAAGACACAGAAAACCTTTTCTTAAAAATATATACAGAACAATTTTTTTTGCACTTCAGGTTACAGAGCTATATCTAGGAGACCTCAGAGTAGTCAAAAGGATTAAGTCAAAAGTTAATTATTTTGATAGTTCTTACTGTGTCTACCTTCTGTAATTTTTTTTCTGATGCCTAATCAATTTAAAAGCAGCATCAGAGACAACATCTGTAAGTGGAATGCACAGGTCTTTTCTTGAGACTGAAAAATCACATCTCACTGCAGCTTACCTTCACATTTGAGTCCTTGACGCACCAGCCCCCACAGCATTTCTCCACAATGGTCACAAAAGGCTGGCGCTCGATACGAATGAACAAAAAGAGCATGGGGCCGGATTTGAAAGTCTTCAAATGTAGCAGAAGCTGTAACAACAAATCATTCAAAAAATTAATAAAATTAGTAACATAAGTTTCATTTACGTGGTACTTCATCACAAAGGAAAACTCCTTTTGGTCACTATGGTAATGAACTTTGAATTTTATATTGGCTGGTGTACTATATTTTAAAGATAAAAAGGATGATGATATACCTTTACACTACAATGACCACTGGAAAAAGAATAAAGTTGCTTTTACACACTTGAAGCAATAACTTCTCTGAGAATATTTTTCCAATAAAAACCAGGAGGATAACAGCATATCAAACATTTATCAGAAATCTCCAGAGTTCAATCAAATGTTGGAAAATTTTCAAAACACTCTTTTACAGACTTGACTCACTACACCTGAAGGTATATATACTCAAGATAAACTGAACACATCCAGTAAAGAAACATATCTTTTCTTAGACAAGTAAAGGAAAATGTATCAAAAATGGGCCATTTCAGCTTACCATTTAGTAAATCTGATTCAGTAGCCTATACTGGTATTAGTGAACTGATCACCCAAGTTGAAAATAGACATGAAGAGCTTAAAAAGAAAACATGTAATTACACACCCAATCATCAATAAAGACAAAAACTTTGCAGAGTAGTCTGCAAGACTGCTGTGAATTTCCCGAAGCATCAATCCTTTCCAAGTGATGTGAGCTTGTCACTAGTGTAACAGTTGCAAAAGTCAGAAGGGGTAGTTAAAGGCACAAGTGTAAACTATAAAAATAAACAATGACAATGTTTTAAGAACTATTTAGTATACAGAGGCAGCTAGTACCACAGTATTTTTAAAAATATACTTTAACGAAATATTTTCTTTTTCTTATTAAATATGTTAAGCATGTATCAGATGGTCTAATGAAAAATCATGTATGTCAAATGTTGTTAAACATTAAGCACATATGCAAACATCTGATCTCATTCAGACTACCATTTAAACAGGTGATTTAACTGTGTGCTTACTCTTCACAGATATCAGTATGAAAGAACCAAGTATGTGGTCACTTAATAGAAATGCCTTGTCTCTGAACACAAATACACTCCTAATTTGCAATTGAGAGAAAAAAAATTGTTTTAAATGGTTCAGTTCAAATGAATTCGTAAAAGATCCAAACATACTCAGCCCCTGGCTTGTTCCTTGTATATTAAGGGGATCAAAAATCTGCATACCAATCAAGAAAAGGTTTTTAATTAAGTAGAGCAGAGTACCAATAAATATCTACGCCCTGGACAAAGTTCCTTCTGTGCACAAAACTGCTACTCTCAGGAAAAACTTCTCCAAAAATGTCCACAGAAAAATACATTTCTAGTCTCAACCAGTCTACAGATCTTTTAACAGAGGTATTTGGAATACCATCACAAAAGTAGGATCCAATGACTCTAATGATATCAAACATTCATTTTTTACTTTTGTTAAAACGATCCAAATCATCTAACAGTTTGTTTAAATCAGGATTTAATTTTCTTTTCCCAAAATTATTCTGTTCCTAGTTCTCATAACGAGCCATGTTAAAAACGTTACCTAATTCATAAAATTAGGACTTCATAAAACAGCCTGATGTCTTAGATCATCCTGAATTTAAATAAAATAGTTTCATATTTATTTAACAATGTTAGGCTAGACGTTTTTTTCCAGCCTCAAGGGCTTCCAAACACATAAGCATACGTGTTCAAGTATGTTATTTTTCCAGACTACAGCGGTCAAGTTCACTGACAAGGCAATGCTCACTGTAATGGCAATGCTCTCCTTAGAATACTTGAAAACACAACTCATCAGAATGCATTTTAGATGTTGAACACAATTCCTGTGAGTTTACTTTCTTTAGGACAAAGTCAACCGTCTTTTCAGTGCATATAGCCAGATGTTCTTCTGCAATTCCGATCGAATCAAAGAATATGGTGGAAGGATCAAGCACTCAAACTTTAAAATATATTTTGACGTTATTTAAAATATAAAATCATGTATTTATTATTCATTTGTACAAACAGAGCAAAATACAGGCACATTAACTTCCCTATTTAATTTCATACTGAAGATATACCATAGGATCTAGGACAACACCTCCCCAGTAGATCACTGGTTTGTGGAGTTCGAGAAGGATGCATTTTTCTGGGCGTCTACATCACCAGCCTGCAGCCACCAGGAGGAAAAGGTGTCACAGTCCAGCAATAGACACCTCTGTGGTCCTACCACATATGGATACCAACTGAGCTATGATAGCCCAGCAGCTGAGTGAGATCAAATTATAGACGAAAATCATGCTGAACCTAAAGAAAAGTTGGACCGGAGAAGGAGGAGCAAGCAAAACAATTTCAGGGGTTCACAGCCATGCTGTAACCTCTCTGCATACAAAATACACGCTAGCATCTGTGCTGGTCAGCCTAGGTTAGGAGGTTGGATTCTCATCTGTTGTATCATATAAGAGCAACTGACAGGGATATTTTCTGTCATCTCTTCCCCTAGAGACTACCAAGGAGTCATTTTGGGCCTTGGTAATTCACACCCTTCCTCTCCTCTCGCCTGGTCTATGAAACTGCAATATACATGTGAAGACAGTCTTCAGCATTTTGGAAGCTCCAGCCATACGGCATGCTACAATATACCTCCTCAGCGATTCAGATGGCTATAAACACATCACTATGCCTTTGAATCTCTCTGCTTGTTTCCTTCAGTTTCAATCGAAGTTCAGAGCCTCAGTCCTCCTGTTCAGGACTTTTGATTCTGCATTTTGCACCGCATATCTACCAACAGCTTTATGAAGAATACTGCAAATAAAATCTCCACTTCTTCTCATAACAAAATTATCATGGGAAAGCTGTGTATCTGGGAGCTTTCTCAAGGATAAGCACCAAAACTGGAACACCATGCCCTATCAGCTTCCAACAGAACTGCAATGTACACTTCTTTGCTACTGTCTCTGTAGTTTAAATTCGCGCATAACAAATATAAAACCAAAAAGCTTACTAAAACAAGATACCCAGTGAGCATGCATTTCTCCCCAAGGGAGAAGACAAGGAAGACCCTAATATAAGACCCTCAGACATGATGACCACAAATTTTGATAACATACATGTGAATTGTATAGATGTAAACTTTTTGTTTATAAAAATAGACACGATTTCCTGAGGTTGTTTCTAAAAGCATAAAAGTAATAATAAAAGCACTACTAAAACAAGAGTGATGTATAAAATAAAAATAGTGTTAAGTCCCAATCTAGCAAAAGACTTAAGTATGTATGTAAGTTTATACCTATTTCCTTAAATACCTGCCTAAAGTTATGCATGTATTTAAATTCTATTTTGAGTAAATGACATTTGCTAAATTGGAAAATTGGAGAGGAGTTTCACATGGATTTACTGGGTGGTTTTTCAAATAGTACAAACAGTGCAGTAAAACACAACTAAGCTTAGAAAAAGCAGTAACTTCAATTTAGCTTAATAATTTAGATAATGGATTAAAAGTATTTTAATATATCTTTACAGTAAAATACCAGATTTTGTGAAAAGTAAGTATCAATGTCTCTGTAGAAGCAAATTTGAAATTAAAACCTCCCACAACAAGCAGTTTTGCCTTAGGGATTTGATCATTTGGCGCTCTTCCTGTGTCCTGAATTCAGTTCCATTGGAAGCTGTTAAGTGGATGGAAAGCATTTTGCTGTTGAACGTCATTCTCTCAACTCCATTTTTGTTGTACTGGTCTCTTCCCGTGCCCAACCACCCCTTCACAAATGGTGAAGAAATAATTGACATCCTTTCCATTACAGCTGTAACTGAACCTTCCGGTCTCCCTGCAAATTAATTAATGGGTTATCATGGCTCATGCTCTTATCATAAAAAATGTTTCCAGTCCCAAGGCAAAAAAAGTAATTTAGAAATTACTTTATTATATCTTTTGTTTAGTTCATGTTACAACTATATGACACTAAATACCACACTTAGCAGTAATAACGTTAATGCAATTTTAGAGAGGCAGAAATCAAACACAAAGAAACCTCCCAAAGTACTAAACTTGAAGTTGCCATACCAGTTGTTACAAACATACATGCAGTATTACATATTTAGTTTTTTCATTGAAATGTATTTCAATTTGTATGTCCTTAAAATTTCTTGTACAGTACATGTTGCAAAACAGAGATGATCAATTTTCAAGGAAATTACCTTTCAATGGAAGCTTAAATTTTATCTAAGTGTTTAATTGATTACTGAATTAACAGTTGAATTTTCTTCCTTGACAGAAAAGTAAATTGTCTGTGCTGAATTAAAATAGCTTTGCAGCAGGTTAGGCTGTCGTTTAACTGTGAGAACATCTGAACTATATTTCTGTGACAATAAGGGAGCAGGAACTAGTAATGAAGGGACTACCTAAACTGAAAGGTCCTGAAAGTTATTCTCAGAAGCTCCAGAAAACAAAGACAAAGCACAGAAAAGCAGCAAACAGTTTCAGGGAAGAGTGAAAGACTGTTAGATCCTACCTTTGTATGGGGTTTTGGGGCTGGAATATAAGAGCGTGTACATCAGCATTCTAACAAATCACCACTAGAGTACTTACTCCACAGCTTAAAGACACTCGGGCATCACTCATAGAGAAGGTCAGCAAGAAATTGAACTTAATAACAAAGCCGTATCATTTTATACTGACATGATAAATATTCAAAAACAAAAGGCAGGGAGGAAAAATGCATTCTATTTTTAAAAAGCTTTAAATTTGCCAAGTACTACAGAATGCAGCAACATCATTATTTCTCCTTCTTTTGAAACTGTTCTGGCAACATTCCACTGTTGAAAGGCATGGAAGTGGTTTTGGGTTTTAATTTTAAAGGTAAAAGTAGTGTTTTTCTAGGCTTCAGATTTATGTGTTCTCATTGGGCTCTGCAGACAGCATTCTGTTTTCTTGTCTCATTAAATGATGTTATTTCAGATCACTAATCACCGAAACTAGTGTGTCATTAGAACTTCACCTGGAAGAACTATGTTAACTAGCAAGTTACACAA